TGTAAGACTAGGATGATCCAACTGAGCGTGTATAACAAGTGGAGAATCTAATACAGAATAAGCATGAGAGGAGCTGGAGAGCATGCAAAGGCCATTGGACTCAAATCTGCCGTCAATTGTCCTCCCCGAACTCCGGTCCTGTAAAACAACGTAATTTTTGGTAAAAGATATGAGACAATCAAGATAAAGTGTTAAACGACTAATGGAAAGGAGATTAAATGGTGGACTAGGGAAATAAAGCACGTTATCAATATAAGAGAGGGAAAAAGATGTATTGTTCTAAGCCCAGAAGACTGAACTTGGAAACCATTAGCCATAGTAACAACAGGCAAATAATCAGAGGTAGAAAGAGAGGAAAACAAAGACTTATTACCAGAAATATGATCATAGGCACCTAAATCAAGAACACAATGACCAAAGGATGAATTTTGGGTGAAACCAGCAAAGGTATTACCTATATGCACAACAGTAGCCATGGAACCGGGGAGAGTGGGCTGAGAAACATATTGAGGAAACGACTAGAATCATCCATAGTTCCAAAACTAGAATAAAGCACCAATAAAATAAATAAATAAAGAACCAAAGTCACAAGGAACCTTAGTGTCACGTAATAGCAAGGGTGAACGTTAGCAATAAATGCGCATAAGTCTAAACATACGACTGTGGATAATGTTGTGATGGTGATGGACAACTAGATCTTAAATAGTGGCGATGATGGCACATGCGAAAAAGACTGAAATACCAACGATAGGGGCACATGCGAACAAGGCTAAAAGGCGATGGACGAACCTAGGCACATGGTGACCTGAACGGGATGCGAGCAGGAACCAAGCGTGTTGTTGTCTGGACGAAAAATAAACTGGACCAAGGGTGGGTTTTGCGGTTGTTTCTACGTGAGATCACACACTCGCGACCCAAACGATGTCTGTTGAACTAGGTGAAGGCAGATTTGGATAGAGGACGACAGGGTGACCTTGTCTGTCCTTGGTCGACAGCGAACGGCCGCAGAAAAATGCACTCGCGCCAATGGAAGGAGGTGTGTAGCGGCCACGTGCAGAAAAAGAGGTGTCACATACGAACGCGTGGAGCCTTCTTAGAAGGGTAAAGAGCGGCAACGACAAAGGAATTTAAGGTGAAGAAAATATGTGTTTACCAAGTGAGAAGAAGGAAGATTGTGAAAAATTAAAAAAATCATAAGATATTATTTTATTAAAAAATAACAAAATATTATTTTCTTAAAAAATAATAATTTATTAATTTATTAAAAATAATAAGATATTAATTTATTAAAAATAAAATAAAAATATTATTTATTAAAAATTACAAGCCAGACTTAGATGCTTGGAGGCCAAGCCTGCTAAAATTGACTTGTAGCTTGATTTCTAAATAAGCCTTTTAATGAGTCCAAGTCTATATTATTTTTTAGGGCTTTATTAATCTCATGTAATAGGAGAGAAGTTTTCTCATGCTTTAGAAACAATTATGTGTGGGACCCATCCACTTCTAAAAAGAAAAAAAGTAACACGAAAATGTGTGTAGAAGAAAAAAATACTCTCCTACAACATAAGAGTATATTTTCCCTATTTTTAAAATAGGCTAAGTCAAGTCAAGGAAAATACACACTAATTTGACAAGCCACATAGGTCATTTACATTCCTAACTATAGTGATAACTAGTGGCGATGATATGACTTACTCTTTTGTTTTTAGAGAAGGTGATTGAGGGCTGTAACACCCCGTGTATCCCCGGAATATTAACATTACATCGTATTAAGCGGTGCTTAATTAAAAATGCGGAATATTCTTTTTCTTTTCAATTATGACGTCATTATCAATTACCAACTTGATTACTTAATCAATTTCATAAAATATCGCCTGTATGTAAATTGCAATAAGACATCTACTGAAATACCTCAATATATAGATAAAGTGTGTATCTAAATCACGGCATTACATCAAGTAATCCGGACAATATCCTGATACATTAATACAACTCCAAAAGACTCAAGACATAACCAAGACATAATAATACTATGTGTCATGGACAATCCCCATGCTCACCAAATAAACATAGTAACAACAAGTCTCAACATCAAACTCCAAAACATAAACTGAAGATATAAGCATAAAAGCAGCATGCAAATCCAGCATCCAATCATGGCAGCACAATATAACAGCAATCTAACTCAGCTCCGGCCTCCTGCCGCCTGAGGTCTTAACACTACCTGACCCTGAAATAAGCATTCCCCAAACGTGGGGTGAGATCTCTAAACTAGAAATCTCAGTAAGACAAGGGGTCCTCAAGGATCTTCCACCCCAAGCTCACTTACATGTGCAATATAAGTTCAAAAGCATTTATATCATTATCAGTTCCAAAACTATGTAGTGCAACAGATATCTATGGCATGTGTGTAATCACTATCTACTGGCCAGAGAAATGTAGGAATACGTCTATTCCCTACATGTAGTACAAGGAACACCGCTTGCACCTCACCCACAGCCTCACCCTCTTGTATGTTCTACATACTCAGGCTTACCGTATAGGTGGAACACCTCCATGCATATCAACAAGGCACTAACATATAATAGCTCAACAGCATTTCCAAAACATCAAAAGCATGTAACACAGCATGCATATACCATCTCCCCATGGGACATGGTGGAACCACAACATGGCTAAACCGAGGACACGAAAGCTTACCTCTAAGCTAGCTATCCAATGCCACAAGCTCAAAGTCCAATCACAGCAGATCACAATCTGATATGGACCAAACATAAATCAATAACATATACCACATGCATACAAACTAAAGACAACGCCTTTTCATTACGTTTTCAAGTCTTAAAGCTTCTAACAAAGCCACAAACCCTAAATCCCATGATTCTGGCTTAATCTATTAAATACAGAGGTTCAACTTCATCAATCTAGGGTCTACAAACCCCCAATAGCCTACTGTATGCACAACACAGCTACTGTTCTGCGAAATCCCAGAATATCCGGATACTCCTCGGGACCATATCCGGATATGCAATATCCGGATATCTTACTGTACATATCCGGATATTCAATATCCGGATATCCAGAATCCCATATCCGAATATACAATATCCAAATATCCCAAAACCCCATATCCGAATACATATATCCGGATATCCCATATCCGGATATTCCACGGGCAGATATCCGGATATTTCACGACAGAATGCAGTTTCTGCATTTCCGTGAAGATATCCCTTAAAGGTTCCTTTTTACCGATTTTAAACACCTAATCATGCATTTCTAGGTGTGTTAAGCCTTACCCAACAACAAGTTATCATCTTTTAACCTTAACATGCATCAAGCTTCCATTTTTAAGCCTTAAAACTCAAGTTAAAGGTTGGTACAACATACCAAGACTCAAAACTCAGAATGGAGATGCTCTTGGAGCTCACTAGACACCTCCAAGATTCTGCCTCCCACTGCACACGAAAATGGTGCACCAAGGTGGTTCTTTTACACAACAAGGAGGCTCCTTGAAGCTTCAAAACACCAAGAACAAGATGACTCCTCTCAAACCCTCAAACTCAGCCCCCTCACCAGCTCAACACAGAAGCCGGAACCTCAGAAAAGACCCTCCTTTCACTCCCACAAGAATGCTCTCAAGTGTTTACAAGGTTAAGAGAAGGGAAATCAAGAGTAAAAGCTTGAAGACTCAACACAAAAGAGAAGGAAGCACAAGAACAATGACCAGCAGCTGACCACACCAGAAACTCACGTAGAAGAGAGTGGCACCTAGGGTTTTGTGCCCATGATTGGAGTATTTATAGCCAAAACTCACTTAAGCACGCAGTATTAACTTTAAATGCTAAGGTTAGCATTTTAATCCCAAACTTTGGATTATGAAACTACATAATTTTCTAAGAATTAACATATTTTTCTCATAATTTTCTGAGCAACTTCCCGGTACGCGCTTTTCCAAGTCAGTACCGGTTTCTAGCACCAGTTCTCATTATTTGGACTTGAAACTCGTTTTACAAGTCCTACATATTATTCTAGTAATTATCATGCACTTACTTTAATTTTTCGGGATACTTTTTCGGTACACAGTTATACCGACTAGCAGAACCGGTATCTGCACTTTTCTTCCGAAAAGTGACTTTCAGCATTCTTAATCACTTATTATGATTATTTAGCCTCATAAATAATTATTAGGGTCAATTATGGAATCATTTCTTATTTTTTGCATAATTAATTAATTAAATCCCTTAATTAACGGTGCGGGTTCTTACAAGGGCTAGTTTTGGTAGAAAAAATTCTTATCCTATGTTGTCAAATGCAAGCTCGAGTCCCCTCAGGATAAAGGTTCCGGAAAAGATAAAATGCCGAACAGTAGATAAGAAAATAATATAATCATGTCTCTGCTATCATGTCCACTAAGTAGGCCCTTGTCTTCTGTATGTATTAATTTTCTACTTCAATATCTTTCTCTCTACTAAAACTATATATCAAAGTTTTTTATATTCAAGAGCTACCAGAGATTAATTTTCATTCAGAATACTAGAATAAATTCTCTTCCCAAGTGACTTTATATTAGCTGGAACTCTTCGAGACTTGGCGTTAAACTCAAACGTACTTAATATTTGAGTCACCCAATTGAGTTTTTGCATCAATGTAATCCTTTGAGGAAAATTTTGATTGTAAAATTACCGAATTGATGTGTATTTTGATTAATGAGGGATTGTATTACAAGATATAATCACCAAATTGAGAATTAATGATTATATCAGTGAGAATCAAAATATAATTTATGCGAGAAGAGTAATAAGCCTTTAAAGAAATGTATAAAAAGGCTAACGAATAGGAAAATTTAGGGGCAAATTCTTGGTGCCCTTGAATGTAATTTTAAATAAATGAATATGGTGTTCAACCAAAACATAACAGATAATTAAATGAACAAGATCATCTATAAAAAAAAATGAACATGATCAATTAATCAAAAAGAAAGAATGTGCAAAGGCAAATCAATTGAATTGCATTATCTTTGGAGCAAATCTCAGCAATCTATCCAAAGCATGAGGTGTGAATTTTCTTGCAAACAAATGACAAACATTGGTCCTCTGTCCATTGTATTCACATGAGCTTCCATACCTTAACTTGTCCAAAAAATCAAAGGTCACATGTGGTCTAATATACCTTGATAGATGAGGTCCACCCCTTGACCAATCAACCCATGTCAAAGTTCTATTAGAGTTCCTCTTCCAATATTTGATACTCACCAATGTGGGCAAGTAGTGCTCATCACTATAGTATTCAGGGTTGCAATACTTCTTGAACACAGGAAAATATTGCCTATCAGAGACTATTCCAATGGCAAGTGCACGGTCTATCTGAAACCATTGGGACCCTTTTCTCCACTGAGAAAGCTTAACCTGTGGCCTCATTTTGGGGCTGTATCTTCCACGCCCCACATCACCTGGTAGATCATAGGCTTCCACAAAGGTCTTGGTTGAGTTCATTAGATAAGTGTAGATGGTGGAGAAATTAAACAAAGGAATGCATGACTCCGAGAGTAGTACAAATCGTTGGTTTGAGAAATCAAGCAATGCATTCGCTAGTAAACGTCTCTCTGCCTCTATCATGCTATTCTCACCCCACTTTACCTCCTGCATGTTAATTACAACTAAAAAATTGATTAAGAATACTCTGTGTTATGGCTCATATAAGACCCATATTCTTGAAGGCTCAATAAAGGACACTACAAAAGGAAAGTTACATAAATCAAAAAAGAATTTTCATATTGATGACAATTTTATCATGACAACTATACGGTTGGATATTGGGCCCTTAGACAGGTCATTAAAGACCCAGAACTCCAATATCTTTAAGTAAACTTTATAAATAAAAGATAAAGCCTACAGATATAATCGATTGTGTTGTGCACACACCATCCCTTTGACAAACGTCATTCATATATGTGTGCAGTGATCTAATACCTCAAGATTATTTCATTCATAAATACCTTATAGAATATCAAATCCAAAATAAATCCATTAGTTCGAGTAGATACTTCTATCATCGAGACAGAACACTTTGTTATAAGGTTCATGTCCAAAAACATAAAATATGTTGAGGTTGGGCCATATGACATGAACAATTCTATGATTACACCTTACACCACTAAGAAGATAAGACTTAATTAGTTGCTCATGTTGTAGCAACAATTATTTAATTGACATTATTGTACTGTATGCTAAATTATTTAAAAATCTTAGCTGATTTAACTCTCTCTTTTTCTTTTTCTTTTTGTATTTGGGCATTCACTTATTAGTACAGCGTATAAATGAAATATATACAGTGTATGTTCAAAAGTTTTTCAAATTAATATATGTTTGCTATCTAAACATATACAAATAGCAAAAAGATGCTTTATTTTGTCCTTAGATTAGTTTTTGCATGCCAGAGACAAAGTAAATGATATGAAAAGTTTACCAAAAAAAAAAAATGATATGAAAAGTTTGATCGGGTGTAGGAAAGTGAGTTTGGAAATGGAGAAGAATAGAATATTCTTGAGTTGCAAAACGAGTGAAATAAAGGAAAAGTATATGACCAGTTTGCTTTAACAGCCCAGTTCCGGAAGCAACCCAAAAGAATATTAAAAAGAAAATGGACATTCCCTACCAAAAAAAGAAAAAAAAAATCTATAGATTCAGTGGACCTAGTACTTCAGTTTTTTTTGCTTAAACTCCATTGTATATTGATTACAATGGACTATATTCAACTTTAAAGAAAAAAATTGCAGTTCATTTAAATAAAATAAAATAATTGCACTGAAAAAAGTATAAATTTTCTCATTCTGAATAGATGGCATAAAGGTAAATGGAGTACTTTTTAGCTGGGGTGTGTGATTATTGGAACTTTCATCAAACCTCATTATACAAGCAATCCTTGTGAGTTGACATGAAGATAACCCCCAAAATAAAGCCAATAAGGATGTTCCAGAAAATTCTTAATAATGTTTATAACTCTCAACGCTAGACACTTTACACATAACAAAAAGTGGCAACTATTTCAGGTTCATGCGCAGACAGATGTTTCAAAGTTAGCAGTTTCTTATAAAAAAAATTATAATAATATCTTGTGGCAGGAACTACAAAGCAAAAATATATATATATATATATATATATATATATATATATATATATATATATATATTTATATATTTTAAGAAATTGAAAAGTTTAGATACAGTTAGCTACCAATAATACAGGGTCAGGAAAGACTCTGACTTCATTAAAGATTTTAAGGAGAAATTACATATAGCTTCATCAACGAGTCTGCATATCGACTAGAGGAATTTAAACCCACACTCTTATGAAATATGAGTTAAATTCTTAGCTAACTGTGTCCTCCCTCGTTGGCACATAGCAAAATATTTTAGAGTAGAAAGATACGCTTAGATTCCTGAAAAAATATCAACTACACTGGTAGTTGTCTACCAATAATATTATGTGTAGGGAGAGACGGAGAATATTCAATGTATAAGTACATTGAAATAGAACGTGAAAACAAGTTTGTTTTTTTTTTTTGATAATTGCGAAAACAAGTTAATACTTTTTTTTTTTGGTAACTGATCCTAATTACCTCTTTGAGGCAAATTAGAATTTTCGGTATCTCCACGGGTTCGACTATTTGAGCCGCCTAAGGGACTAATCCATAGTTCAGGTGCGAGTCCAAAAATTACAGTACTTATGCCCCTCCCCAGATGATGTCACTACAAAAAACTTGGCGATTAGCCACATCTAAAAACGTGGCTAAATTGCCCATAAAATGTGGCTAATATAAGCAACCACACTTTTTATGAATGTGGCTAATCATGGCGTTGCAATCTTTTAACCACATTTATTGTTGTATTTTGCCACATTATGTTGGAGTGTGGTAGCAATTATTTAGCCACGATCATAATTATATTTAGCACGGTTCAAATGTGGCTAAATTTTTTTTATTTTTTTTTAAATATAGCCACAATAAATTGTAGCTATATTTTTAAATTTTCTGCCATTGAATTACAAAGAATAATAATCAATAATTCAGGATTCTAAACAGAGACCAATGGGAAAAATCACATTTACATGATTCACTGTGTTTCCATCAATCATGTATCTAATCGATAATTCTGAACCACTACATAAAAAATTGCTGCAGCCTTCTGTTAAATCCTTCTACTATCTTTTCATAGATTTTTGTAAAACTAATAGCTTATACCAAAATGAAACTCCTTAACATACATACTGGAAATTCCTTCTACCAAGTATACTGTACAATAATATAACAGCAGCAAAAAGAAACTTCCAATATCAAATATATTGAACAGAAAGACTAAAAAATCATATATGCAATAGTAGACCCACGGCTCTGCAGTAACAAAAGTTTCAAGATTCAATATTTCCTTGACATGCTCCCAAAAAGAAGACCTAAGCTGCCAATTAATAGCCAATTTAGAAATCACATCTCACAAAAAAAAATAGCAAATAAAAAAGGAAACATCACTTGTTACACAGCACACATGACAAGCAACAAGCAAATGTGTTACCTAACAAATCAGAATAACAAAAAGGCATGCGTGCATGCAAAGGGCTTAGTTTGTCTTTACGCAGATGCATACACACATGTTGAGAGATAGACTTTTTATTCATAAATTATGTGAGCTTAATAGAATGGTAAATTGAGTTTACTACTGTAGAAGAAAGCATACCAGTTTGCTAGCTGTTGTAGCACTTTCATTTGAACTAGGAGCAGAGACAAGTGCCAATTCCCATCCTGTAGTTTCATTTGCTTGCTTGATTTAAAACAACAAAAGTTTGTTGATCTCCTGAAACCACCATTAACAAGACATCATATGACTAGACACCAAGAGATTTGCCTACATCCATTCTAAATATTAAATGGAACATTCTAATCATAACTGCCACCAAAGTTCACTTCTATGAACCAATTGTTATTGTTGATTTTTAAGGTTCACATCTGCAGATTCACAAGCTTTTTATTCAATGAATTAAATAAAATGGAGGAAAAGGAAAAACAAATTACCAATGGGAACGATGGCTAAAACCAAGGCATTCTTCTCTTCCAATTCTGAAGCAGCTGGAACTGGATCCTCCAAATTCTAGTTAGCAAGCCAAAAGGAAGCTGCTATATTTTGGCAGCAGATGAATATTGGTTTCATGGAAATAGAAGAAACATTGTGAATATTATATCTTTGTATATAATATATCTTTGTATATGCATACATAAATCTCTCGTTTCACATAGTTCCAAAATATCAAGCATACAAGTCTACTGTGTACTGTTCAGTTACAATAACTATATACCCAACTCTTTATTTATGATTATTTTTCTATTTTGCACCATTGTCGTCTATTCGTCTTTATTGTATCAAGACATTGTCAATCTACGTAACTTGACAAATTTATACGAATTAACCTTAAATAAGTCTTCCAACATGATATTATATATAAGTTTGGGTTGTGTCATTTAATTAAAAGGAATTATCAACTATAAAAGAAATATAGTAATTAAAAGTTAATGAATCATAATTTACATTACAGTAAGCTCCTGTTTGATCATTCAAAGGGTCGAGACTTTAGTTCTTTATAGAAATTTACCATTAATATAGTTTCTTAATCTTAATAAGTTATATTAATTTAGTATTTCACAAGTCTTGTAACCATGTACAAAAGGACGATTTTTATGTTATTTTTCATGATTAAGTAATCAATTAAATTGGTATTAATTTTTTTAAAAAAAAAACTAAAGTGATATCACGTTTATCTTTACAGGATTAGAAGGCGGTTTATTCTATATCTTGTTAAAGGGATGTGTTAGTCAAAAAACTATTAATATATTAGATAGAATACCCTGCAACAAACTATTTCTAGAAAGTTCGACTTTGAAAAGGCAACGCAACACTACCAACTGAAAAAAAAATACAAAAGTAGAACAAAATCATCTCACCTTGCTCAACTTCTCGACAACTTGTCCCATTGCAGATGCAACATTACCAATTGTTGTCAAGGTAGCCATGACTATGTTTTTGTTGCTATAAAAGAGTCATTCCCTACGAGCCCCAAAAAACTTGTCAGCTATGGAGATTTATATCTTGTGTATTGAAAGATAATTGAGAACATAGGAATAATAAGAGAAGGTGACAAAGATCTAACCGGGAAGGTGAAGGTGAAGAGATCTTCACTCCTCAATGAGGTAAGAATCAATTAGGAACCAATTTAGGATTATATATCCTAAATTGATGTTTCCTTAGGAACTCCAATTCTATTACTTGATGTTTTGGGAGAGTGACTGGCCTCTCTAAGTGTCAGCTTTATCTTTCTGTTTTCCTGTTATACTGTCTCATGAATTGTAATATGGAATTTCCAAAATATCACAATATCAATACAATTCAGTTTTTTTTTTCATTCTTATAGTAACTGGTACCTATTAATTCCAATCAGAGCTTGTTCTTCTGAAGCATTGTTGCCATCTCCAACTTCCTGATCAATGCATGATGTTAAATGTTATTTGTAAGATATTGACATAAATTAGAATTACAAATCAACTTCACCATTTCATAAATCAAGAAAGCATACATCTTCAGCTTCAAATAAGCACTTGTGGTTATTTAGCAGCTTCATGATAGCTGACTTTTCTTTTCCGTATGAACGATATAATATATTAGACTAACTTTTTATACCACTACTGCTGAATTGGTTGGTGCCCCCACGTCCACCATGATGATCTGTGCCAGCTCTACCACCACCTCAACTAGATGTACTATTTTTCCCACTCTCACGAGACCTGAAAGCAGGTAAAAAAAAGGACAGAGAAAATCAAACAAAATATCAAAATTAAAAAAGGAGGGTATGGATTAAGTTATTATCAGTTAACTAAAGTAATTGTTGCTAAAGCTTTAGTGAAGCAATTAGAGCTCCCAAAAGGGCTAGAGCCTACCATGAATAGGTTCATACATCCAGCTTTCCATGGCACAGAAAAATAGGGTATGGTCATTTTGCAAATGCCCTGTGAATTCAAAAATCTCAACTGACAGCTTAGCTGCTAACCATCTAGATAGTGCAAAGACATTCTCTACATGATTAATAAAATTGACCTGATCAATGTGGTATTCTCTCCATAATTACTACAAAAAATAAGGTTTTTAGTAATTTGCATAAATAATTACAAAGTTGAAAGAAAACTAAAAGTTCAAGATATTAAACTAATTAAATAATGAGATCAAGCAAATTCTTTCTACATGTAGAATTAGCTCATGTGATGAGTAGGGACTGAGCACATAGCTACTTGCATTGCCTATATTGGCTACCTAGAGAGATTTTTAAACATTAAACCAAAAAGCAAAAGGAAAATAACCAAAGTGTCGATTTGATTTAGATTGTTGATATTTCCCTCTGATTACGGGTCGGAAGTTGGGAAAAGTGGGATACATGCTAGATGAACAAAAGATGCTCAACTCACATATCTCATACATAAAAATTCTGCTTCACATGGAAAGACCTGTTATGTTTATATGGATTATTAACATTTATAGCATCCGAAACATAAGAAAACACAAGTCCCCGAATAAATATGCAGGTTCCTTGGACCCTTTCCTTCTAATGAATAAGGAGAAGCCTTGTTTTTAAAATACTTGTACTGTTTGGTACTAGCATAACAGTCATGAATCCAAAATTCACTATCATTCAAAACAATTTAATACTAGAAAACTTAAAACCAAAATATGTGATTTTGAGTAGGCTATATCAAACTTCTTCTGTGGTTACAAATAATATTGCAAGCTTAAAATATTCTCACTAGAGAATACAAACTATACACCGATCTTATAGTATCATGTTTAAATTATAATGTAAACCAAATCTTAAGAAGCAGAGCAAAATTTCAATAGCAATTCAAATTCTCAATTGCAAACCTGTTTGGCGAGTGAAAGAGCGTGATACTGCATTCGAGGGTTGCATCCAATATCGCCCAAAATCACCACACACGCCCTTCCTCATTTTCAAATCAATCGGAAACAATTTTTCGGGAAAAGAGAAAAGGAAAGAAAATCTCACCAGCCATTACACGTAACATTTGGCAGAACTTCAAATAGAAGAGCAATGACATATGATACCTAATTTGATTTGACTTCAAATTGAACCATAAGGCACCTAATTTCTCCTAGGGTTTATCAATCCTTCATCGAAAAAGCTTAGGGGGCGTTTGGTACGCGGATTTTTGGAAGATTCCCGGGAAACTGAATTTTTCTAAAATTTAAATTTCCGGGTATTATTGTAAACTGAATGTAAAAATCATATTTTTGAAAATTAAGATTCCCGGGTAAATAAAAATTTCTCCTGTACCAAACGCCCCTTAGGATAAAGGTGAAGAAATGTTAACCTACAATAAAAAGACGAGAAAAGCTGAAGTTGTAATTGCTGTGAATGGAGATTTGAAGACACAGAAGAATGAAAAAAAAGGAATGAGGTGAGTTTGTTTTTCTAATTTTAAAAGCAATTTTTTATTTGTTTTAAATCAAGGGAAAGCATTTTTTTCCTGCGATAATTTGGGACGTTGAATGTCATTGTGGTAAAATTATGGGTATTTTTGTAATTCTATGATTATTTCGTAAATGTGGCAAAACGCATGTAGTTAAGGGCCGCTTTTCTTGTAGTGTGTTGGTGAAATTCGAATCGAGATCCTCTCCTACCACTCAGTCCACGTGCTACCAACTGAGCCTAAAACAAGTTAATATTGAATCCTGCGCCATTGTGAACACATAACATGAAATCTAGGAAATCGCTGAAATAATCATTAAATAAGGCTTTCGTGTTTGACATCATAATCAAAATCATTCCCCCCCCTTTTCCAAAAAATTAAAAATAAAATAAAAAGGAATCAGTTTCTATGATCTGTCTTGTAGGAGGATTCATATATTAATTTGAAAATGTGCAAAATAAAAAATAAGAATATAAATTAATTTGTTATTTGAGTGACCCAAATATAAAAGAGCTAAACTAGAGTTGTTAGATTTTAATAATTTTGCATACGGTACAATAATGTCAATCAAAGAATTGTTCCTACGGTACGTTACGGTACAGTACATGGGCCACTAATTATATTTGTCTTATCTTACTAGTGGGGTGTAATCAAAGAATTATTCATGCCATGTGAGTAATAAATATGAATTTAGACTATTTTATTTTGTATTAAACATACTTTAAAATTTTATTAAAAGAGATATTGATGCTAAAAGTAAATTTTTTCTCTTAAATTAATTTAATCTAGTCGTACAAATACTATGGCCTTCTGTATTTTTAAGTTTGGCCGTCCTTACTTGAAAGCAATCGATGTGACCTGTGTTATGAGAGGAGAATTGTACAGTGAATGAAACACTTCGAAGAAATCAATGGAATCCCAAAAGGTAAATGAAATTGGAAACTTCGAAAATAATGTTTGACAGATGGTTTTTTTTTAGATTTTCAAAAAAGTGATAGTACTAATTTAATTTATTTATGTTTCATAGAAGATTTCTGAAAAAAATTCACGGAATATGATTTTTTTGATATTTTATTTTGTGTGTAAAATATAAATCAGAATACTATCTAGGAAAATGGAAAATTATATGTGAAAATTATGACAAAAATTTCGGTGATATTCTAGTCTACCAAACAATTTTTTGGATGTGAAAAAAAGGGTGGTATTCTCATTTTACCAGGAAAATAGAAAATTAGATGTGAAGATTCTGACAAAAATTTCGATAATATTTTGACATATCAAATAATTTTTTAGTAACATTTTTTAAAAACTTATTTTTTCACCATATTTCTGATAATCATGATTCTGAGATAAAAAAAAAATTTCTTATATCAAACACCCCTTAAAAGAAAGTTGCTTCCGTTGGAATTGATCACTTCCTCCATTTAATACTATGGCTTGAAGATATGCGCATATGCCACATATTAGAACCATTCTAATAAATGCTCCTTCACCATCATATTTAATGAAGACACGAGAAGTGGAAGGATTTTCCTAACAAATATATAAGGTCTAGAAGACAATTTGAAAAAGAAACTTTTTTTTTTTTGCTTGAAGCTCTGAAGAAAAGTTAAATAGAGAGATCTCTTAGGAGACGATTGAAAGAAAAACTACTATTGTAGGTGAAGTTTAAGAGAACCACCGTTGAAGGTGAGGTTTAAGGGTTTCCTATAGTGATTCCAGAGAGATTTGACTTCTTGTAACCCATTATTTTTCATAGTGAAAGTTTGGTCTGAGCTACTATCCCGTGATTTTTACTTATTCAAATTGAAGAAGGTTTTCCACGTTAAAATTGTGTGTGTTCTTCCTCTTCTCCTTTTTCTCTCTATTTTATGCATTTGTTGCTTATCTGATAGACAATAGAATATGTTGTCTATCTACTATGTTATTGACCGGTATTGACTGAGTCTTTCGATCGATTTTGATAGTGGTTGTCGACCGGCAACACTATTTCCCCAATTTGACTATTTGAGGAACTGTGTCCCAATAGTGGTATCAGAGCCTAATCATAAAGTCTTCTGAGCGAGAAGAGGTGGAAACTAGTTGTAGCAATTCTCACGACGGAGATATGTTCAAGTTGACAGCTGATAATTTTACATACTGGAGGCCTATGATGGAAGACCACATGTATTGCAAAGATCTGTACGAGCCTATCCTGATTGCAAATAGACTTGAAGGAAAGAATGAGAAAGAATAAGAGATTTCGAATATGCAGATCGGCGCCACAATCCGAAAGTACATAGATAAAAACATCTTTGAGCATATGTCTAAGTTCACCAATGCCCATGAGTTATGGACGAAGTTCGAGTCCATGATCCAGAAGAAGACTCCCTAGAACAAAGCACACCTAGTTCGCCGACTTGTAAAACTTAAATACAAGGATGGCATAAGTATAATAGAGAATTTGAACACTTTCAAGCGCATTGTGAATCGGTTATCAAAAATTGAGATGAAAATTGATGATGAGCTTCAAGCTTTGTTGCTACTCAACTCACTGCCAG